CAGGATGCTTACCGGCCCAATCGCGTGCAGTAGGTTCGCAACGGCTCCCGTAGATGATCCCTACGACAACGGGACCAATGATGCCGGCGCGGAGCAGCTTGGCCGAAACGTATTCAGATATCCATAAGAAGGTGAAGAAAGACACCAGGATCAGGATGTCGACGACTTGGCTGGGTTAGTGAAAATGATGGCTGGTTTCATGCCAATGGTGTGGGGAATGCGGGTCGCTTACTTTCGGGCTCATGGTACTGCAGGAACGGAGCTGCATCAGAAGACGACATTCTTGACGTGCGTACGTATACGTATGCAGCAAGCGGTCAGTGGCTGAAGCTGGTGTTTGATCAATCGCCCTCGGCTCAGTGTCAATGAGCTGAGCGGCTGCTATTGTAGCCGTTTGCGCTAAACCAACGACGTCATCCACGGAGCGCTTTCCATGACCAACAAAACAGCCAAGCATGCACACTGATAGCGTGTCGTTCGCGAGGAATAGCCTCCAGAGTTTTCTCCACGTTCTCGTTCACCACGAGGACCGTGCGCCGGGATATTTGGCGGAGCCTCGACGCCGCCAAGACGTGTTGTGCCTGCAAACTGGCTGCTGAGCAACCACTCACGGCAGCTCTGGATAATGCTTGAGCTCGCTAAGGAGAAGCTTGAGCGTACGAGACGCCAATGGTTTGCTCCACTGGCTTGTTGAAACGAAAAGTCTGCACCGGGTCAGTCGAAAAGGCAGGTTGGGGAAGATCCTGAGGCTTGCCAAGGGCGAGCGTGCCGTATATCCGCTCCACCACCGATGGCCCCGGTAACGTGACGCGCACTCAATGGCCACTTTCACGGCCAAGAGTGGAGAAAAGTTTGCCTTTTTGCTTGGCCCTCGCCATCGCTATCGCACTTGGCAAGAACTCGTGACGCTTGGCACGTCTCCGCAACACGCCTTGACTGACTTGACTACACCGTCTTCCCCACCACCTGAATAATTCATATAGAAACTCCAGGTCCCTTTCAACTGCTCTTCCTCATCGCTACCTCTTGTCGGTCTTTTGCTCTTCCACTTGAAGTTTGCTTCCCAGCTCTTTCCCACCACTCTCGTGTCTCCTACCCACCCCGAGCAACCCACCAACTCGCCAATCACGGCGTAATTCTGGAGGAGTCTGTCCCATACCCCGTGCTGAAGTACTCTATGAATACCACAATCAACACCCAATCCACCAAATTTGTCCACGTGGCACCAGCCCGCGGGACGCGCATTCGCAGAAAACTCGAGCGTTGACCACTACCTTGAGTTTTGCCGTTACACAAACAAACATACTACAACACCTTGCCGAATACAACACCTCTTTTTGAACACAACAACACACCGCCATCATGGCGAAGAAAGCAAATGCCCTTGAAGGGCACGTCAGTGGCCAAGCCAACAAACCAATGTCGAAACCCGCACACAGTCTCACACTCCAACAAGTCGTTGACGAATTGAAGACCGAAGAGTGGTCTGGTCTCTCAGATGCAGAGGCCAAGCGCCGTGTGGAGGAGTATGGCTCCAACGAACTCGGAGAAGCTGAGAGCGTATCTCCAATCAAGATTCTCATCGCTCAAGTCGCCAACGCCATGACCTTGGTTTTGATTCTCGCCATGGCTGTCAGTTTCGGTATCAAATCGTGGATCGAAGGTGGCGTCGTCGCCTTCGTTATTGGCCTCAACATCGTCGTCGGTTTCTTCCAGGAGTGGTCGGCCGAAAAGACCATGGACTCCCTGCGCAATCTCAGTTCGCCTACTGCACGCTTGATTCGAAGTGGCCAACAGGTCACTGTCCCATCGGCTGAAGTCGTACCCGGCGATGTCATCGAAGTCAAGGTCGGAGACACCATTCCCGCTGATATGAGGTAAGTAATTCCACCCGAGTACCTCGTGGGGTACATTAAGAGTAATGACTAACGATATTCCAGAGTATTTGAAGCCGTCAACTTTGAGACTGATGAAGCGTTGCTCACCGGAGAATCCCTCCCCGTCCGCAAACAAGAAGATGCCACTTTCGACGAAAAGACTGGTCCTGGAGACCGTCTCAACGTCGCCTACAGTTCGTCCAGCGTCACCAAAGGTCGCGCTAAGGGCATTGTTTTCGCAACGGGCGCATACACTGAGATTGGTGCCATCGCTGCTCAGCTGCGTGAAACCAA